GTCCATATTTTCAGTTATGCTTATTTTCTACAGTTATTTGTATTGCCCGATTTTTGAAGGTCCATATTTTCAGTTATGCTTATTTTCTACAGTTATTTGTATTGCCCGATTTTTGAAGGTCCATATTTTCAGTTATGTATATTTTCTACAGTTATTTGTATTGCCCGTTTTTCGAAGGTCCATATTTTCAGTTCTGTTTATTTTTCTACAGTTATTTGTATGGACTGATTTTTGAAGGTCCATATTTTCAGTTCTGTTTGCTATACAGTTAGTTGTATTGCCCGATTTTTGAAGATCCATATTTTCAGTTATATATTTTTTCTACAGTTAGTTGTATTGCCCGATTTTTGAAGGTCCATATTTTCAGTTCTGTTTATTTTCTACAGTTAGTTGTATGGACTGATTTGTTGAAAATACCTATCTTCAGTTCTGATTCTAAAATAGATAAACTGATAATTACCCAATAAATCAGCCATACTGAAACTTTGAATAATTAGATATGAAAGAATGAAATGAAACTAGAATTCAGCTTTCTTCAATTCATTCTATTCCATCATCCAGATTTAACTTTATCGATGAAATTTTGCAAAGCGCATGAACACACAAGTTTTAAGAAAGTGCAACCACAGAGGATTTCCAACCTTTTCTTGAGACACGATCGAAACTTATAAACCACCAACGTGGTACTATAATGGACAACGATTAAATAAAAACAACAATGCGATGTGTTTTTTTTAAGATCATATTTAGTTTATTTAATACTTGTCTCGCCCAGAATTATGGGCAACCTGGAAACTATCGATTTTTTTTCCGCAAGTGTTAACAGAAATTGAAATGTTTCCATCATATACACATTGTCGTTAACACTTATACGAGTTCATCTCCTGTTAGATGAACCGAAATGACAGTCAACCAATCAACGTTAGATAAACGCAAGTCAGGCCGCTGAGTGGAGATCACATGACGTCATCCTTTTTTTTTTCTCTCTCTCTTCTTTTCTTTTCTTTTTTACTGAGTGCAGCTGCTTGGAGTCAGAGAGTTGATGGTGAAAAATATACATTTCAGTGTAAACAGCAAATTAACCTACGGACAAAGGAGGAGACGTGAAAAGCTTACCACGAACCGATAAATCTACATTGCGAGCGTGAGGAGATAAATTAGGTGAATTGGACCAAATATAGAAAGACACATATATTTACATGGGTATCACTAAATGATTAAAAACACTTTGTTGTTGTTGTTGTTTTTCAAAAAAGTTACAGTGAATGTTGTTTTTTTTTAATCATGCGCATTCTGTAGCTCCATACTTTTGAGTAAGCTTAAGTCTTGAATGTTGTTGAAAATGGTTTTATGAATAGAGTGGATCTTGGCGGCGTCTACATCCTTCTTCAGCTCTTCCATGTCTCGCTTCAACTTGGCCCGCCTGTTTTGGAACCACGTGATCACCTGGGCGTTCGTTAGGCCTAACGACTGCGCGATTTCATCTCTGTCAGCGGGAGACAGATATTTTTGGTACAAGAATCTCTTCTCCAGCTCGAAGATTTGGTGATTAGTAAATGCCGTTCGGGACTTTCGTTTTTTCTTTGGTTGCTGTCGAGTAGTGAACAAGTTAAGATGATCACGGCTTCCGTCTGAAAAAGAAAACAAAAGAATAACGTGATGAATCATTTTGCTATTAGAAAGAACAACTTAACTTTTCAAATGTCACTGGAATTTTGAGGCAACCGTTATCTTAAGGACCGTCCATAAATAAAGGAGTCCTGTTGCTGTATAAAGGGACTGTTTATAAAATAAATGTGTATAAAACTTTTTTTTTTATGAATTTCCACTTTGCAATAGATAAGAGTCAGACACAGGAGTGAGGACCGAATATAATTATATATATATGAGTTAGTTCTAACCTAGAAAAACGCAGCCAATATTAAATGGATTGTAATGCTGTGTGTGGAAAAAAAAAATGTAGCTTTCTAGCTGGAGTACCGGTCCCCTGGACGGAAGTTATGTAAATTAATGATTAATGACAGGTTATCTTGGGACATGAAAAGTTGCTCCTCTTATATGTAGTTGTAAAAAAAAAAAAACCGCCCAAAAAACTGGAAAAACCCAAAAGGGAAATCCGAAGTTTTTAAGTTACCCCGGGGTGGCCC